CTACCCCCTCACTCCCTCATTGTTCCCCTTAATCGACGCGAAATAGAAGTCTACGTACAATCGACGAGTTCGTTTAATATCTAAAGAAAACAAATTTTCTTAAATATGGCGTTAAATGAAAAGAGGTAAAAAAGCGGAGAGAAAGAGAGAGAGAGAGAGAGAGAGACAAGGAACGAGACAAATTTTTGGTGTAGACCGATGTATAAGAAAAATAAAATGAAAATAAAACGAGGGGGATGATATTTTTTTTCGAACCGTTTAAACGTAAAGCAATTTTTTTCCCTTCCCCACTGGACCGAATAATTTGGGAAAGAAAACGAAGAAGGATGAGAAGGGGAGTTGGGGGTGGGATCAGAGGTACCAGGAGTCTCCCGCAAACGACGAGAATGGACTGACCTACCTTAGGATCATCCGATCTATTCATACTCCTTATATTCATCGTACTCTCTCAGGATGCGAGACAAAAGCACCGATGAAACAGAACTTTCCCCTTACCTCTTCATACCTTACTTCCCTCTCTCGGCCCCCACCTCTTCCTATCCATCTATCCTACCACCATCTCTCTCTCTCTCTCTCTCTCTCTCTCTCTCTCTATCTTTTACTTTCCTGACTACCGCCCCCGTTCGTGTATTTCTTTGGCTTTGTCTCCTCTCGGATACGACTTCCGGTACCCCTGGCTAGACTAAAAACGTAATTCAATGGGATGATGCGCTTTTGAATCTGCGATTATTCCTGCGGTTTCTTCTTCTTTTTCTTTTTATTTATTTTTTTTTCTTTCTTCTTCTTCTTTTTATTTCTTTTTCTTATTTCTTATAAAGCAAAACCATGTATCTGTCCTATCACTTACAGGACAGATCTTTTTTATTCCATTCGGTACAATAGGAGACAATAATCGTTCTATAATATATCTATATTCTTAGATATTCGATCGACGATTCATCCGATTATATTGAATTTTGTCCTCAAACGTTTTCGCGCGTTCGATAAATATTCGATAATATTTGATATCGACACAACGTTGGTTGATGGAAGAAATTTTGTGGAATATAAAAGATCTATAGGAAGGATGATTATTTTCTTTCTTTTTAATCATAATCAAAAAACATACATTTTTTCTCAACCGTTTCCAAACAATTATCGTAAAATTTAATATTGAATTACGAATTGGAAAATAATTAAATGAAATTAAACGAAGATGATTATTTTTGAATTGAACTAATATTAATAGAAAATAATATATGCGAATGTGAAATATAAAGTGTAATATAAATTATAGGAAGATTGATAATTGTTTTAACGTATTATAATTTCCCTGACTGAGATGATGGTGTACTTGAAATCTTTTTTTCTTTTTTTGTTTTTTTTTTTTTCTTCTTTCGTTCTATAACTTTTATTCAAGACTTATTTGAAACGCTATGGAGGGTGAATTTTGTTCACGGATGGTTCATTGTTTCGTCGACTCGTGAGTCAAGCGTTAACGGATTTTGTCTTAAAGATTACTTGATCGTTCAACAGAGAGTAAGAGAGAGAGAGAGAGAGAGAGAGAGAGAGAAAGAGAGAATTTGCTGGACCGTGGGAAACAAGCTTTTATTATAAATCACGAGCATACGATCGTAATCCTAGCAACAAAGAAGAAAAAAAAATATATATATATAAAAGAAATGGAAGGAAGGGTCGTAGAAAAAAACATCATATCGAGTAAATGAAAAAATGAATTTAGAATGTTTTGATAATTCTTTTATAGGAATATATTCGACATAAATATTCTTACATAGATTGAGATACCAAGGAAGTCTGACGATAGACGACGGTCTGCCAAAGTAAAGTTTAATAATAAATCAGTTTGGTTATATGTGATCTTAAAATAAATCCCAAAGACTATTAGGAACTTCAAGGAAAAAGCTTAGAACGAATTTTCAAGACGATCATATAACTTAACAATTCATTAAAATACCGAAATAGAAAATGACGCGCGTCTGTTATATAGATAAATGTTAATTAAAAAAATTATTTAAAACAAAAAAAAGATTATCCTAATATTAACGCGTATTCGTTTCAATGATAAATATAATATCGATAAAAAGAAAAAAGAAAAAGAAAATATAGTCCCAAAAGAATAATCCTTAAATTTATTTATACATAATAAATTTTCTTATATATTTAATGATACAATAATTAATTATTATTACAATCAAAGGTCATTCTCTCTTCTTATTTGTGCGTGAAATAAAGTCTACGACAAAATTGTGACCTAAATAATGAAATAATACGTTTGATCGACTATCGATATCATTCGATATAACAAGATAGAAAGAAAATGAGAGAGAAAAAAAAAGAAAAAAGAGAGAGAGAAAGAGAGAGGGATGTCATGCTCTCGTTAATTTCATGCATCCGCCAATGGCGGGAGAAACGAGACGAGGTGACGAGTCTGACAAGGCAAAATGGGCGGGACTCCGAAGGCTGATATCAACTTAACTTGGAGGTGGAGACGACTACAACGACTATGACGACGACTAATAAAACAACTACAACGATGACGAGGAGGTGGAGGAGAACTTGGAGGAAGAGCAAAGTGACTAGACAAGACAGGAAAGAAACTATATCTATATACATACGATCATAAACATGTATGTGTATATATATATATGTTTTGAACATGCTGCTGCGCCAGCGCGAGAACCGCCTACTTTAACATTTCACCATCATCGTGAAGAACTATATGACACACAACGTTAAAATTCGTATTTTAACTAATAAAAAAAAAAAAAAGCAAACAACAATAATAAATATTTCATTYTTTTTTTTTTTTTTTTTCTTTAGATATATGTGTGGTTTAATAAAATATATCGCAAATAATAACCCGGTCGAATTTAATCGACAAACTTATCGAATGGGACAACAATTCGATGAGAAATTATACATTACTTTTTATTTTCAAATTATATTTAAAGTACATAAAGACAAACTTTGAAATCTTTTTAAACAAAACTTCGTAACCATTATTCTATTAAGTGTTATAACATTTTATGAGAATTTTGTTAATGTGTAGAAAACGATTAACGATGATTACACACATAAATTATTATTATACTTTTAGGATACTTCAAATATTGAGTCACGAAGATACGAATTGTATAACTTGGCGAATGATCAAATAGGCAATAGGATTTAACGACAGTTAATGCGCTTTTTCAAAGTTCAGATTTACTTTTATAGGCTCGTTAAATAAAATCGGTAAAAAGAAGAAAACTTGAACAATGTCTACCGTTACCCGTGCAAATTATTTTCCCTTTTTCCCGCCCCCCTCCAACCCCCCTGTTAGTTAGTGTCTCGTTATTTATCATGTTATTCTTCAAAAAAAAAAAAAAAAGAAGAAGAGAAGATCGTTTCGTTCAAAAAGAATTTAACGTAAACGTTGAAGAAAATGAAAAGAGTTAAAAAAAAAATAAAAATTACTCACCCTGTGCCAATCGCCTCGCGACCGGCTTGGATCTCATCGCTGCACGGCGGCTGGCAGATTCGAAACCAAAACACTAACAACGTGTCTGACGATCCTACGATCCATGCGAACAATATATTTATCTTCACGATTGTATTTTTATCCTTTTAAACGACGACCAACCGACGACTAACTTTTTTTCCACACTGTCTTCTTTATTCAACCGCACCCCCTTTCTTTTTCTTTTCCTTCTCCCGTCGTTTAAAACATCCAATCGGGAAGATACATTTTTATGTCCTCAATGAAATATTATTATAATATGATTACACAAAAAATGATAATCAAATTATCATCCTAATCACGTAAGCGTGAGCGCGGGCGGACGCACGCGCGCGTATGCGTGCTTGCGTGTGAGTGCGTGCGTGTATATATGTAGTATACGCATTAGTATGAACAACCGAACCAATAAACACGTTGGATATTAAAACGAGTCAATAAATACAAAAAAAGAAAAAAAAAAAAAAAAACAAGAAACTCCGAACGAAAGATGATGAGTTTTTTTCTCGCGAGAAAAATGTCTATTTTCCTTTTTAAAATAAAACAAAAAACACGAATATTATTAGGATGTGTCTGGATGTTATATTAGACGAATAGAATGTAATCACACAAATAATCACGAATCCGACGGGTACCGTCTTCGACGTCGATCCGTCGTCGATCCGAACGGGATCCTGACGTACTTTCAATCTGTCCCCCGACGGAGGAGACTTCTCCTGTCCTCCGGCACCTCCTCTCTGCCTCTTCCTCTTCCTCCTCTTCTTCCTTCTCCACCAGTTTGTCCTCCACCCTCGAGTCTCCCTCTCTTTCTCTCCTACGCACGCACACACTTTCTATATATATATATATTTCTCTATTTCTCTCTCTCTCTCTCTCTCTCTCTCACTGGCTTTCTGTTCAGAGGCAGCACCAATGCCGTTACACCTCCTCCTCGTTTCGTCTTCCTCCCTCTTTTGATGCTGTTGCTGGTGCTGCTGCTGCTGCTGCTGTTACTACTACTACTACTATTACTACTACTACTATTACTATTACTACCACCACTTGTACAAAGCACCACTACCACCCAGGTACAACCACTACTTCAGAACCACCCTCTTTCCTCCACTCTCTTCCTCTCCACCATCTCTTCCGCCTCTTCATCCACCTCCTCTTTCTTTTTCTATCCCTCTTACTCTCTCTCTCTCTCTCTCTCTCTCTCTCTCTCTCTATTTCTCTTGCTTGCTTGCTTGCTTGCTGCTTGCCTTCCCCACCTGCAAAAGCCGACCTGGTGGTTTCCCCACCACCTAGTCAACCCGGCTTTGCTGTCCACCAATGATCAGCCGCTGTCTTTCCTCCGCTCCTCTTACTCTCCTCTGCAATACACTCTTTGCTACTTCCTCCTCCTCCTCCTCCTCTTTCTCATCTACCACCACCTCCTCCACCTCCCACCCCCACAATCTCCTCTTCTTCTTTTCTCTTTCTCTCTTTTTCTATTTCTATTTTTCTCACTCTTTCTTTCTTTCTAACGTCTTCGCGCGAAAGAGTTCTTTCTGTTCTATCGGCTTCCCTCTGTCACCATCATCGTTTCAAATCAACGTTAACCTACCAAGAATATTTAACATTTTTAACTCACTGACTTTCGAAGTATCATCGATCAATGTCTTCCATTAACCTTTCTTTCATTTTTTTTTATAAATCAGTGTTAAACATTTACCAATAGTGATAACAATGACGACGATTAGATCAATGTCCTTCTTTTCATCATTTTCTTACATGTCTTTTTTTTATTTCTTTCCTCCCTCTCCCCCCCCCCTATAAATCACTGTGCAAAATATCTTCCAGCTATGATTACGATGATAGAAAATCAACGTTCTTCCCCAATTCGTGATTGATTATCCTCCTTTCTTTCTTTATTATTGTCTCTACGAATTTTCACTGTAGAATTTTTGTAATCGCGCGTACGACCGATGAATTACGATGGGATCTTCTTCGTTTTTTTTTTTTTTTATATACGATCAATTATAAAATTAATTTTATTCGAACGAGAGAATATTTGGATTGGGTTTTTTCGATTATTTATTTGCCAAAAAAAAAAAGAAAAAACAGAAAAAGAAAACCAGAAAAAAATTCACTAAAAATGTTAATCGAAAGAATAGAATTTCTTGAATGAATGGATCTCTCTCTCTCTCTCTTTCTCTCTCTGGTATGGAACAGGTGTTCATAAATGGTTGGTTCATTCGCTGACGATGGTGATTAGCGATTCACGACTAAGTTCGTTCGTGTTAGAACGCTATCGCCCAGTTGTTGCTGACGTATAGTCTGTGGGAATTTGATCCCACGTGCACGAATTGTAAACATTCATGTACAATAATCTTAAGCAGCTTGCAGACGGTAAAAAGAGAGAGAGAGAGAGAGATATATATATATATATATATGAGATGAGATTTGATATTCGATTAATTAAATCGAGATCTTATAATCATTCTTCAATGATTTTATATAATTTTTATTCGATACAATGTTTTTTTTTTTCCCCCCCTTTTTTCTAATTCACCGTTTTTTTATTTCCCTTTTACGATATTTTCTAATGCTAATCCAAATCACAAATTTGATTCGATCACTAAACGACGACGACGACGACGACGACAACGACGACGAATCTCACGATATACGAACTCAAACAAAAACAACATAATTTATTCGCGGTTTCGATACGTCGAGGGAAATTCGACTAGAAACGTTTTGTGTATGCGTGTGTGTATCCTATATTGGTGTTTTAATTAATATTAATTCCCCCTCTCCCTACTTCCCTCCCACCCTTCCTCTCTCTCTCTCTCTCTTCCTCATACACCCGCCGGCGTTTAAACGAGATGGGAACACCGTTCCGATCAGTTTGTTCGATCAGACTTTACCGTTAATCTAAATTTACAGATCTAAAATCTTTGAAAAACATAAATCTATATAATATATTTAAACCCGAACTTATATTCTTACCAAAAAAAAAAACAAAAAAAAAAACAAAAATATCACACGTGGTGTTACAATCTTTATTCTCACTTCACCAAACGAAATTATTTAGGAATACGATAAACTAATAAAAAAAATAAACGGATTAAAAAGTGAAGGGATAGAGCGGGTATCAAAAAGAGGGAAAGAGAGAGAGAGACACAGAAAGGGAGCTGGATGGGAGGGATAAAATTTTTATATGCGATACGTGTGTGGATGATAAATATAAAACTGTATAATGAAATAAAATAAAATAAAATAAAATAAAAGGAGACACACTTGGGAGGAAAAAAAAATGGTCCCGGTTTGAAAAGGGGTATTATTCGCGTACCGAGGTTCGACTTTGCATTAGAGGGTGCGTTCGAACGACTAGGAGACCTCTTGTCCGTCTTCGTCACACCTGAATACGACCTCCGACCCCCACGGAAACGCGCTGACGGTGGCGGTGGTGGTGACGGTGACGGTGACGGTGGCGGTGGTGGTTCTACCAAAGCACATACACGTTTGCTCGTGGTCGCAGAGAAAGAGAGAGAGAAAGAGAGAGAAAGAGAGAGAGAGAGAGTGTGTGTGTGTAGTTTGGAAACGTTTTGCGCGCACCCTTCCAAGCGCAGCTCCGCCCTGTTCCTTCATCCTTCCAAAGCAAGCAAGCAAGCAAGCAAGCAAGTAAAGCAAGCAACTCTAGGATCGTTTCCTCATCTTTTTCTTTCTTTCTTTCTTTCTTTATTTACTTCCTTCTGTTCTGTTCAGTTCTTTCTTTCTTACAATCCTTTTATCTCTCTTACTCTTTCATTATTTTCTACCCTTCCATACGTTCAAGCTACGCTGACTTTTTCCACCAACGGCTACCATGATAGCAAACAACCCTGACGAGATGAGGAAGAAGAAGAAAAGGAGGAGAAAGGAGGAGAAAGAAGAAGAAGAAGAAGAAGAATAGGAAGAAGGAAAAAATAATATATATATAAAAAAAAAAATATCCTTCCACAAGAGCCCTTCCATCCGTGCGAAACGATTTACCTTAGCTTTCGTATCATTTGCAGAAACCTTTTGGACGCGTTGACCTTATTAAAATCTCTCTCTCTTTCTCTCTCTCGTACTCATACTGAATGTTCCTACATTTCGACACACTAAAATGAGAGAGAGAATGAACATTTTCATGCTCCTGTAATCTGATGAACATTTTATTGGAGAAAATTCTATATCAAAATAACTTTTTCTTTATCGATAGCACAGTACGTACCTATTCTTTTTCTTTGGGATTGAAATTGTATCGTTGAATTTATTACGATATATTATAAATGATCTATGAATTTCTTTTTATTCTTCCGCTCGAATATATTTCTTTTATATTTTTTCTGTTCTTTTTTTTTTTCTTTTTTTTTTTTTTTTTTTTTTTTTATTTATTATCTCATTTCGTGATACAATAACATTTTTAATATCTTTCGAATAAATCTCAAGCTTTGGGATTGTGCTCGCAACGACCCTGTTTACGCTTACTTGAAATGGAAGGGCGCGAGAAATGTGCTCTCTCTCCCTCTCTCTCTCTNTTTTTTTTTTTTTTTTTATTGTTATTTTTGGTCATTCATATTTTGTGAAACGGTGCGTTCGTTAATTCTCAAGCTTTGGGATTGTGCTCGCAACGACCCTGTTTACGCTTACTTGAAATGGAAGGGCGCGAGAAATGTGCTCTCTCTCCCTCTCTCTCTCTCTCCTTCTCTCTCATTTTTATTTTTTTTATTTTTCGAAATACGGTCAACGTAAAAAGAAACGGTACACTCGAGTCAACCCGTTTCGTTTTTTCTTTCTCTCTCTCTCTCTCTCTCTCTGTTTCTTTTTTTTTATTTTGCTTTCTTTCTTCCTATTCTTTTTTTTCTTTTCGTTCTTTCTTTCTATTACACTTACGTAAGATACGTTTGCTCGTTTTAACTTGACACGTTTCCTCAACCCGAGCCACGAATGAATAATCGTACAATAAATAATAACGAATGTTTCTTTACCAAAGGATATTATTTTTATTCGCGTCTATGAACTCGGGAATGTAGTTATTCCTTTTCACTTAACATAACATTCCTTATGTGTGTGGCAAGTGAAAGAAATTAATATTTTATTATATACAATATCCGAAATATTATATTTGTTTACGAAACGCTAAAAACACATTGTCTAAATAATTAATATTTAAAACATGGACGAGAGGAATAGGGGAAATGAAATTTTTGAATTGATATATTGTCTTATGAGTCCTTTGATAAAAAAAAAAAGAATTAAAATTAAAATAACCCACACTATAAGCCTATGTTATTAATATTATTCCCTTTTAGTACGATAAAATGAATAGCTAATCATACTTAAATTCGTTAACAATTCTCAACTATTAACTTATATATACCTAATTTAAAAATAACATTTTTTTTATACGTAATATTTATCCCCTAATACGATATAACATTATTCACAATAATAATATATTCATTATATTAAACATATAATTTATATTTAATTGTAATATTATACTGGATATGAAAAAATACATAGATAAAACTTGTATCAAACGTTTACATTCAAATATGAATGAAACTTTTAGCCCGATCCAATAATTCGGAATATAAAAACAAATCGAAATAACAGAAAGTTATAAAGACCGAACAATAAAACAATGAAAACCAAACATCAATGAACAAACGATTAAAGTTAAATATAAATAAGTAAGCAAGCAAGTAAGTAAGTAAGTAAGTAAGTAAGTAAGTAAGTATCTAAGTAACTAAGTAACTAAGTTAAGTAAGTAAAGCAAGTAAGTAGGTATAGTGAATAACGAGTGTAAGGAACCTATCGGCGTCGAGCAAACGTCCAAAGGATTTAACACGCTGCAGCAAAGCTAATACGAGAAAGCTGCACGTTCGAGATTCGTCTCGGTTCGGTTTTCGGTGGGTGCAATTTTCGCGAAAGGCACAACGGCACTCTCCCACTCTCTATCTCCCTCTCTTTCTCTCTCTTTCTTGTTTCTACATACAACGATGCAGGTGCATATGCACGCACTCCGATACACACACAATCATCTACATATAAACCTATATACTTAAGTACATAGAAAAATATGCAAGAGAAGCAGAATCTAACTTATAATCATACACATATACACGCATACATCCAAATGTATACATAAGGAAAGAAAAAAAAGGAAGATGACAAATAAAAAGAAAAATAGAAAAGTTTCAGGTGTAAAAAAGGAAAAATTTTCTTTCTCTCTCTCTCTCTCTCTCTTTTTCATACACACACTCCCACACAATATTCCTCTCTCTATCTCTTTCTTTCTCAAACTTTTCTCTCATATACTCTCTCTCTTTCTATCTATCTGTCTCTTTCTTACTATCTTTCTCTTTATCACATTTATTCTATCCTTCTCTCTCTAACACTCTCTTTCTCAATTCCTTTGACTCTTACTCTTTCTCTCTCTCTCTCTCTCTCTCTCTCTCTTTTTCTTTCTTTCTCATTCTGAACGACGATCTTTTTGCCTTTTATTTTCTCACTCGCGTTCCCTTTTCTCGGCCATTCTCAATCTCGTACTCCGACTCCTATAGTCACCTCCAACAGCACCGCCGAGACCATTTCGCCTTCTTTCATATACAACCACCCTCTCCCAGCCCTCCAACCTCCTCCACCTTCTTCTTCTTTCACTTCCTCTTCTTCTTCTTCTTTTCCACCTCTTTCTCCTTTACACTAGCTGCCTTATTTTTTTTCTCCTTCTCGTAACTCCTTTATCTCTCTCTCACTCTCTCTCTCTCTCTCTCTCTCTCTCTCTCTTTCTCACTCTCTTTCTCTTTTACTCATATATATACACACACAAATACACTCACTCACTCTCTGTCTACCCCTTTCCTTCGTTCTTTGTTTCCGCTGCACGTGCTCCACCCGCGTATGCGTAAAAACGCGAGAAGAGTGACGAGGAGGAAAAAGAAAAGAAAAGAAAAGAAAAGAAAAGAAGAAGAAGAAAAAAAAGAGTATAAGAAAGAAGGTGGAGGAGGTGGAGAAGGTGGAACGCAAAAAGTGAAGCAAGAAGAGCTCGTGTGTGACTTCATAAGGCGGCCATATTCAAATGGATATATAGTATCGCACGCATGCTAGCCGGTTAACTCGTGTTATACCTTCTTCTCCACCCCCCCTCCCCACTTCCCCACTTCTTGTTCCCTTTCTACCACCACAGGTACCTTTTTCCCCTCTTTTCCTATTCTATTTCTTTTTCTTCTTTTACACCCACACCTATTCCTCTTTCCTTTACTTCGAGCAAGACAGGTGTCGGTTTCCCTTATACGAGGGTCAACTACGTAAGATTTTTATATTTGTATTTATATGCTTGCTTTTAAATATGTATGCGTGTTCTTGTGCGTGTGTGAAATAAGTCCCTATGAAGGAAGGAATAAAAGAAAAGAAGAAACGAAGAGAATGGAAAGGAAGAAAGTTACGCGGGCACAAATTGAATACGTGCTTTTAAGAGCATCGAGTGCAGCAACGTTTACAATGCTCTCGATATCGATAGCTTTTGATATTCAATTAGGTTTTGATTCTTTATTATTGTTATTAATCATCGATTTATTAATGATTAGTATAATATATTTATATGTTCTCTTTAATTTGTATTCCTCGAATAAAACTAGAATTGTTCGCTTTTAAAGCATTTGAAATTAGATAAATGACAATATTTTAATATATGTTATTGTATGTTTACTTAGTTTTTGAATAATTTTCATAGGTTTGTTGAGTTTCTGCATAGATTGACCCAATTATGAATTATAATACACATAAATTCAATCAGAACATATATACGCGTATATCCATATAATATTCATACATAATAATATTCATACAATTCTACAAATACTCACACATATATATATATATATACCATAATATATATATATATATATACCATTAATACAATAAACATATATACCATTAAAACAATAAAATAAAAGTGACCAACACCTCGTTTTAAAATCCCTATAGTAATTTAACACGAGCCACGCGTGATCTTGAAATCTTTTTCATCCAAAAAAAAAAAAAAAGGGAAAAAAGAAGAAAAAAAAATAAGAAGAAGAAGAAAAAAGGGGGAGATGAAGAAAGTAGATTTGGCCACTTTTGACCGATAGGAAAAAGAAAAAAAAAAGATAGAACGAGAGAGGGTGGTTGGGGGGAGAAGAAGAAAGTGCCGTTAACGGATGACGTATATTAGGGATACTCTGGTCGAGTAGGGCACCCGACGATCCAGGACCCTCCCTGTCCTTTAGCCGACTATAAAAACCACTCGCTTTCCTTCTCGACCCTTAGCTAAAAGGCCAATCCGCCCTACCACCCTTATCGATCCAAGAGAAGCACCCAAGCACCGTACCCACTACTACGATTTGGCTACTC